GTAAATTTCTCTACAATGTTACTACAAAGTAACTACAATTATGGTACATAGGTATTTCCAATTCTGTCCAAAGTACCAAAAAATCCAAATTGTACGTACAATCATCATCAAATATGAGACATAAGGTCCATAAAAAGCACAATTACACAGCTGAAGACAAAACATAGTAACCTATATATCTTGTCTACAATATAACTACAAATACACTACACAGCTGAAGACAAAACTATAATATAACCAGAATTACACTACACAGCTGAAGACAAAACGCATATTGTGAATGATTCTGTTCTTTATACTTACCGTGTTATTGATGACTTGTCCTGGGTGAGCAAGGGCATAAAACCAGTCCTTCTTATCCACCTTTTCACAACCAAGGTCTAACCAAGGCTTGATTTGGTTATCCTTTTTAGAAAAGTATTTCCTCCTGTAATAACAAAAAAATATCAAATAAAAAAAAATGACAGAATGAATTACATATTTAAAGTTTAAAAATGGTAAAATGAAAGTGTAAAATTAAGCATTCATACCTCTTAGATACTTTGTCACTACGAAGGTATAACCAGTAGGTGAACCTTTCTATCAAATCAGCATCTACATTTTCACCTATAACAGTTCTGAAAGGGTGCTTGAGGTAGAAAAATTTAGGTCCGACAGAGGTGCTGCCTCCAGAACTATACAGAGGTGTGAAAGGTGATCGTGCATGTTTTCCCTGTTGCCTGGTTCTACCCGGATGAATAGGTGTTGCTTCATCTGGTATGGGCTCGACATACATTACCAATTGTGTTAAGTTGTCTGGCAACTCAAAGTCATCCAATGTCAGACCTTTCTTGTCAATGCCTGAACCTTCAGTAAGTTCATTCACAGTCACACCGTGAATTGGCGACCGTGGAACGTTATCTTCAATATCTGTTACATATAAAATAACATACTTAACAGCATTGTATAAGTGTATAAGCAACAATTATCTATCCAAAAGTATATTATGATACTATACCTGCTTTTTCTACCTCAGCTCCTTCCTGAAATCCTGGTTCTTCCTCAACCATTGCTGGCACACCTCCAGGAGAAACTTCAGCTTCTGAAGATAAATGTAGATGTATGTAGTTATGCACAATATTGTAGATATAAAGTGAATATAATGAGCTTCTGATATTATACCTGCTTGTTGTGCCTCAGCTACTTCTTCAAATTCTGATTCTTCCTCAACTTGAGCTTGGACATGGTCCGGAGAAATTGTAGCTGCAAAACATAGTGAAAAAGGGGTTAATATAATTAGATAATGCTTTCCTGAAGTTTGTAGATATGTTTGTAGGAATTCTGTAGATACCGGTATTGCTTGTGCTTGCATGCACTTGATCACCAATATTGAACTGAAATTGCTGGTTGTTCTCTCGTTGTTGTTGGTCATTATTTTTGGTTGAACTACCAGCAAACTACAATTTTTGGGTATGTTTGAGTATACTTGTTTCATATGTCATAATTAGTTTTAATACAAAAATATATGTCAATTCTTACCTTTGACTCGTCCACATCGTACTTGCTGTTTATCACCTTCATAACACTCTTCACAGAAACATCTATGAACTCTCGAAGGCTTGAGAGTTCCTCAAAAACAGCCTTACTAAATTCAGCTAACTTTCCATCAACCTAAAAATTAAATATATAATTAGTTGTTAATCTTATTCAAAGTGCTACAGTTCCACAACAATTTAACAAAGATTTGTGCAATACCAACAGGGCTCAATATAGAATTATACCACAAATTAACTACAATGTATAACATACAGTAATTGTTATGGAATGAAGTTAAATTGTAGCAAAAAATGTCAATATATTGTAGTTACTTATATTACCTGCTCAATCCCCTTTTCTAACTTCCTGAGCTTGCTAGTCACAGATTCAGTGTCCTCTTGACAATCTGTATGTTTTGGTTCAAATATTGGAGAAGCATCAATTGGAACCTGTGATGATTGAGCACCATGTTCATCTTCATACTGAATCTTGTCTGGCAGATTAAGCACTCTAATCTCTTCTCCAGATTCAGTCATGCTTGTGAACTGAATGATAGAAATAACAGTTAGTTCAAGTAAATAAAAATGTAGATTAATTGTAGTTATTATGAAGGTAAATGTAGCATCATACAAAAGTGAAAAAATATACCTTGAGCCACTCAGGCTTGATCATCTTCTCTTCAATTGCAGTTAACCAAATCTGGCCCTTTGTAGCTGACCATCTTAAAATGCGAGGTATAGATTCAGAACACCTCGTAGCAAGCTCCGTGCTGACGGACGAGCAACACTCATATAGCCACACTTGCAAGGCTAATGAGCATCCCCGTATCAGATAAGAATGTACATGGGGATTAAGACGATGTCGGACAGATTCAATAACCTGCTTGAAGGATTTGATACCCCATGGGTATGACTCAAAATTACCAGACTCTATCAGAAAGAACATAAACTTGTCTATGAAAGACACATGGTCTTTATCAGAAAGACAAACAAAAAATTCCAACAGATAAAGAATGCACAACCTCACTGCATCCTCACCGTTTGCCCAAACTTTATTTGTGACTACATTTTTCAAATGCCACTTTTCAACCCTTTGTTTGTTCGGAAAATAGGTAGTCATTAAATGGCTAACATAAGTGGAAGTGTAACCATAGTCTGAAAAATTATTCACACAATTTAGACCAGTAATCAACCCAAATTCTCTCAAGGAAAAATTTAATTTTTCACCCTTCAATAGTACTGAAAAATATGAGTCAGTAGACTTTGACAATTCATACTTCATCAGAAGATGAATTGCTTGGTTTTGCATACAGATTGTGGGGAGACCAAATAAGTAACCAAAACAAGTTTTTTGGAAAAGCTTTAAAGCATTTGGAGAGAGTAAAGCTTTTATCTGGCTAGGTATGCTCGGATCACACAAACTGTGGAATCAAAGCACACCATAATCAACATTTTGTGGTGCAAAGTAATGGCCATTCTGCAGAAAATAAAAAATTATTGAACATTAGTAGTTTGCATAAAAAAGAAGCAGTAATCTACATATAACTACATGATAACTACAAAATACAACTAAAAGAAGAACATCCTACCCACACCTATAACTACAAAACAATACAGGACATCTACACATGTAAACATTATCTCAAAACAATAAGGAAGAAAAGGGTAACCACAGCTCTATAACTACAAAAATATAACAGTTAGTTCAAATAACTCACAAAATGTAGATCAATTGTAGTTAGTATGAAGGTAAATGTAGCAGCATACAAAAGGTGAAAAATATACCTTATCTACAATTTACCCAGCAGCCTACAAAACAACTATAAAATAACTACATTTATGCACTGTCTAAAAATTACAATTACAATTAACCTTCAAAATTGAGACAAACAATCTACAAAATTTGGACAATTCCACATTCTACCAAAAAACACTTGAACAACAGATTTTTACAACCAAAATCACACTAAAAAACTGTAAAGAAAAATAATTAGTGTTTACCTTTACCAAAATCTTTTTGTGAACCAATTTTGGTACTTTTTTTGGAGGGTTTCTTCTTTTTTGATTATGATGAAGAAGGAGAGACCTTGGGTTTTTTCACATGGAAGTTTAGAGGAATCTTCAACAAAATCATCATCTACACACAACTCTTTCCCCTTTCGTTTGAGTTGTTTCTCGACTAGTTTATCACCTCCACCAGCATCAACATCGTGCAAATGCTTGCTTCTCATCTCCGCATGGATTTGTCTAGGAGATGAAATACTAGTAGTAGGTTCACTTGCATGTGTCGATTTTGCGTTTTTGGGTGGTGATTTTGGTGTTAAAACACCCAAATCAAAGGATGGGATATCAGCTAATGTAGCTTTTGAAGCTTTTTTTTGTGAGTGTTGATTTTTTTCATGATTTGGGACTTGAAAAAACAGATGCAACTTCAAAATAGGATTTTGTGAAATTAACTGGAGAAGAAAATTGTAGAATCGTGGGTAACTGATGGTAAACGTGAGTGAGAGGCGAGTATACGAAAATGGAGGAATTAACTGAAGGTAAAACGTGGGGGGGTGTGGGGGGTGGGAGGAGAGAGAGGCGGGTAAACGAAAATGGGAGAATATACGCTCCTAAATTAGCGCCTAATATAAATGAAGCATTAATTATACCCTCAATTTGAATTATGGTATATAAATGGTAATTTGGTATGCTGAAATGTAATTAACACAATACTTAAACATTGAGGGTAACAAGGTTTCATATATGGTATACGAAGGTAAAAATCCCTATTAAAAATAAGCCTAACTTTAGATGGACTGAAACGGGTCGGGTCAAAATAGGCTGAATTCAACAAATGAGTTTGGACGGGTCAATTACCAACCAAACCTAGAGCGAGTTGGGTGGATTAAATGAGTTTGGGTTCAAATTTTCACCCCTAGGGCAAATATGGGAGAAATTCAAAAATAGTCAGATTTACAAGTGGTCATTCAAAAATAAACACAGTTTCAAAAGTAATCGAAATTTAGCCACTTTCATGTAAAGATAAATCTGAAAAAAAATACTGTTCAAATTCCGAAAAATATTCCAACATAATAAACTGGAATTCTAGTATAATATACTGGAGTTCCAGTATAATATACCGATCCAGCATAATATGCTGGAAGTTCATACACAGGTGCTCCAATCTCCAGTATATTATGCTGGAACTTTCTGCGTGCTGGAATTTCAGCATAATACACAGCACATCAATCTCCAGTATATTAAGCTGGAACTTTCCGTGTTTCAGCAAGATAGTGACTATTTTTCAATGACTTTACAAACGTTGGCTGTTTTTCAATGACCAGTCCGAAAACTGGCTAGCTCGTGCTATTTGTACGGCAAATATGGCTTGTGTTCAATGTGTTGGAATTGGCACAACGGTGGACGTCATAATGCAAACATCATGTTTTCAGAAATTCAGTTCCAATCGAACGAACCAGCAACAAGGAAGAGTGTTCATACTTCTTACTAATAGACTACTAAACTTGATTAGGTAAACATCCTATTAGATTACCAAACTTGATTAGGTAGACATAAAATTATTTTGAAAGAACCAAGATTCAACACCAAATAGCCTTCAGGATCAACATCACGCTGGACCTACTGCAGTTCATTTTTTATTTCCTTTGGCTTGCCTCATAGTAATTGTCTTTCTTGAAGATAATTGTCTTTCAGTATGAACAAAACATAGAATATTAAAATCTGGCGTAACAAATATACACAATGGCACAAATTTCATCAACAGTATATGCAAAATATATTGAAAAAACATATAGACAATGTGAGCTAGCCAAAATAATTTATGCAGGTCTTCCAACTTAGAGCCATTCTAACAATTAATACCATATCTTTTGGATCCTCAGTGACTTATATAAATCCCTGTGAATGAAACTCTTTTGGCACGATAACGTAGCAGTAATCATATGTTTGATTGTATCTTTTTCATGCTCATTGATGAATTATATCACCATGTACAGAACAAAAAAATCAGAAATTCAAGAGAGTAATGTAAGCCCCTGTGATCAATATACCTTTGATGTCAAGTACACAGCAGAAAGATTTGGATAACTTTTATGGCATCATAGCCCCTGAAGCAAATTGTATTAGGTTCAGTTTTCAACTAACAGTTAAAAGGGAATTAAGTGTTACTTTGAGCAAAGACAACATAACTTGAAAGCACAAGGAAACAAAAGATACATTATTGAATAAAAGAATCTTAATACCATTATATACCAGCAAGGGAAACTTACCCTCTTTTATTTCTTGTGTTACTCTTTCAGTAGTCACTTGTACGTACATTTTTTAGTCTTGCATTCAACAATAAGATAAAGTTGATGTGTCAGTTTTGAAAGGTTCACAAGGCACTGAAAGCAATATAGTCAGCTTTTCCACAATACTTCTATAATGGAGGAATTCTTTGTCATACATGTTTGTTAGCTTCTTCATTTAATTGCAATATACTGTTATTATCTTTTCCCTTTTTTGAGTTCAACAAGAATTAAAAAAAATAACTAATTAAGATGTAAAAGCTGATAAGTCAGCAATAATGACAGGTACCTTATACTGACGAGTCAGTTGGTGAGCTGAGCTTTCTCATGTGGTGGTGAGCACGGATAGCCTGTTGCAAGTAAAGTAATCGTTTGCAGATGTTTACATCAAAAGAGATGACAAAAACTAAGGAACTCAACATATCGTCATGTTCAAAGTTCAAGAGAGCTTGATGAAGCTGGAGTTAACTTCTCAAAAATCAAACATTTATACAAATTTGGAAAAAGAAAACTGTCGGTTATCGCACAAGTTTATTCGATATCAAGTTTGAAAATGGATTGATGGAAATCCCTTGTTTAGAAGCCATCGATGCAATGGGGACCATCTTGAGAAATCTTTCACGGAGTATACATGTCTCAAGGATCATCTTTATCAACTCAGACAAAGAAGTGAATTTAATGATGATTCGGTGCAGGCGAAGCAAATCACATATTTGTCTGAGTTGATAAGTTGATACATTAGAATATTTGGGACGTAAATTGGACGACTGTTGCTCCCGCAAAACAAGGAATTCCATCAAATCATTATCAAACTTTATCAAATAAACTCATGCGATCACAACAGTTTTCCCTCGTCCACATCTGCATAAATATTTCCAATTTTTTAAAAGTCAACTCAGCTTCATCAATCTCTATTGAAATTAACATATTGGTTGGGCATCATGTTGAGGCCCTTAGATTTTAGCATTTCAAGCTCAGCAAGCTGGCCTGGTTTAGTGGAGGCCATTCTTAGCCCTATCCAAACTTTGCAGCCACAACAAGGACACTGCTAATGTTCGCATCTCCAAAGATCCAATATCTGCATTCAGATCAATGATGAGGGCTTGCAATAATAAGTGCTAATTGTGTATTGTTCCCTTCACAAATGATACATCTAGAGTTGAAAATTACCCTGAACCAGGAGTTAATTATCTACTAATGCATTTGCAAAGTAAAACATGAGGATTTACGTTTTGCTGATCTTCTAAATAGGAATAATTGACTTGCGAACAGAATATCTTGAAATTCTATTGAAGTACAATACTGCAGATCTTAAAGAATTTCCAAAGGATCAAATCTGATTATATTCTAAATTGAAAAAAAAAAAAAGGTTATCCCAAATAAATAAATAAAACACCTACTGTTTCCTGTCGATCCTCTTCGGGCAATGATTTCTCTCGATGGCTCAGTGATGGCTTTGGGAAGAAAATTCCCTGGCCAACAGAGACTGCGTATATGGACTATGGAGCTGAAAACCTAGACTAGACTAAAGCCTTTTATTTTGACCCAGCCCAGCCCATTATAAAATTTTAAAGGCAAATGATATACTGACCCGACCAGATCCATCTGTGCCTTGCCTTGTCAGTGGCATACTGCGAGGTTTTAGCCAAAATTATCTCTTATCTTTAGGGGTAGGCTTAACTTTGTCCTCTAAATATAACCCTTAACACTATTTGTCCTTTAAGTTTATAAAACTTGAGCACTTTTAGTCTCACTAACAGAAAATTATAACTTCAGTTTAAAAATTCCTACTAACAGCAACCTAAAATAACTTCAGTTAAAAAACTAACAGGATGTTCTTTATAAAAAAAGGAAGAAAAGAAACAGATTCAGCATAATTGAAGTATCTAGCAGAAGAAAAATAAATCTTTGCAACAGCAAAAATAATCTTCATCATCGACAACATTTCAATGATAAAAAAGCCTTCAAACTGCAAAGGTATCAGCACTTCAGCAGCAAAAATCAGCACTCCAACAGCTAAAATCAACATTCTATAAGTAAAAAAGCATTCAAAGTTCAAAGCTATCAGCATTTCAGCACCCAAAATCAGCATTTCAGCTACAAAACGAGCATTCCAGCAGTAAAAAAGCATTCAAAGTGCAAAGCTATCAGCATTTCAGCAGCCAAAATCAGCTTTTCAGCAGCAAAATCAGTATTTCAGCAGCAAAAATCAGCATTTCAGCAACAAAAATCAGTATTTCAGCGGGGAAAATACAGCATTCCAGCATTTCAACAGCAAAAATATCAGCATTTCAGCAGCGAAAAACAGTATTTTCAGCAGCGAAAATCAGCATATCAACAGCAAAAGTTCGGCATTTCAGCGGCAAAAGTACTCATTCCAGCATTTCAACAGCAAAATATCACCATTTCAACAACAAAATATCAATATTTCAGCAGCAACAATATCAGAACTTCAGTCATGTTAAGAATCAAATTCTTGAGCACATTGCATATGTTCATGCGCCACATGTCCTCTTCTTACCTGCAAACAAAATATATGGTACTATTACTCGTTCATATTATAATAACTTAATAAACATAATTCAATTGTAAGTTATTGATACCGGAAGCTTTGCACGAGTTGACGAGGCAGGAGCATAAGATGAAGGCTCATCAACTTGGGAATCTGGCTGAACAATATTAAATTTGCATGTTCTTTTATTGTGGACAGCATTATTACATAAGCTACAAAGCAAGGAATTCTACTTTCTTTTCATTTTAGTTCTACTTGCTCCTACTTCATCTGTTTCTTTTCTCCTTAGTTTTTGCTTTCTTCCTTTTGTGCTTGTTCTTACTAGTTGTGGAGGCAAAGGAGGCACGTTGCTGGACTTAGGCCACATATGCTGACCATTCATAGGAAGAATAGCAAAGTCATAGACCCTTCTATATGTTTCCACCTTGTAGCAATCATGAACATAGGAATTAATCTCATCTTTTTTAGCCCAAATTGCAGAAATGGCATGCTTGCAAGGAATTCCTGTCAGATCCCATTTCCTACAACTGCATATTTTGTTTAGCAAGTCCACAGCCCACTTATCATGTATGCTTGCCCCTATAATCTCGTAGTTCCACTCATTAGATTTTCTAGGAATGAACTCCGCAGCACCCGCCTCATTTTTATGCAATATATCCTTAATCCTAGGACATATATCACCAATATCCCACCTGGCAGCTTTATCTCTATTTGCCTGCATTCTAGCCATAAGTAAATACCTTATCTTTTCCTATAGAGTGATTATTGGCTTGTCTCTAGCTTCGAGGATCATTCCATTAAAACATTCACACATGTTATTAAGTAGGATATCAGATTTTGCATTTTCAGAAAAGTGAGATCTAGACCATTCAAATGTTCAAAGTACACATCAACTACCCGATCAGTATATTTTTTGCAACAACGACGACTTCCTTATCAGTTGAAACTAGCCTCATTTTGTCACCTAGACTCTCGGGCTTGTGCCAAAAAGTTACTGAGTCATTCCCATAACCGCATAATTCAGCCATAGATTTGAATATCGACAACTTTAGTTCAGCCCCATTGACATAGTCAATAAAGTTCATTCTGCCCCCAATATAATGCCTTGTAGGCTTGAGTTTCATTAAACCACCGTGTGTTATTTTAATGGTAAAATAATCTGCCTCGTACAAAGAATCTGCATAAAAAAAATTGAAAGTTTATTTAGACACACTATATGAATTCGAGATAAGGGCCACATATTATATAACTTCAAAGACAGTAAAGTGTAAAACTGGTGGAGATTTCGAAATAAATTATGAAGGAATATTTACAAAATACAAGTAGCAAGAACACTCACCATAACTCGGGTTTATTTCATCATTGCTCCTAATAATCATTGCTGGGATCGCAAGTAGTAAAGACTTGAAAAGTAATCAAGAATGCTAGAGTTTTTTACCTACTGTAATACAGATAAAAATGAGTGAATTGGAGAAGGGGCTCTTGAAAAAGGAGGGAAATTGACTGAATTGTGGGTGAAAGAGCGGGTATTTCTTTCCCTTACGCATCACGTGCAAATCACCTGTTAGGTCTCTGTTAGGTTTTTTAACGGGAGTGAGTATTTTCTGTTAGTGAGACTAAAAGTGCTCAAGTTTTGTAAACTTAAAGGACAAATAGTGTTAAGGGTTATATTTAGAGGACAAAGTTAAGCCTACCCCTACAGATAAGGGATAATTTTGGCTAAAAATTCGGCATACTGCCATTGAAAAGTTGAGGCACATGCACCAAGCTCAAAATAGAAAGAAAAGAAATTAATTTTGTTTCAAGATGAATAATTTGTTTACCTTCTCGGTATCTCCTTATGTAAAAAGCTTTAAAGTTGGTGGCTGCTAATCAAAGATTGTTGGACAAATTTGCGTCATCATTCAATATTCTTTAAGAGCCCGTTTGGACAAAAGAAAATTTTTCCTTTTTCTGGAAAAATTTTCAAATCAGCATTTGTTCATAAAATTTTCAATTTTCACTTAAAGATACATTTTGGAATTTTGCTTAAATTTGAAAAACTCCAAAAAAAATTCACTGAGATCACTCGGAAAACTTCAAAAACAACCCAAAATTTTACTCATGTCCAAACACAACTCTAATTTTCACTTAAAAAATTTTTTCACTTTTTTTTAGAATTTTACAATTCCTATGTCCAAACGCCCACTTAGTCACATAGTTGGCAGGGATTAAAGGGATACCAAAGGAACAAAAAGTCACTCGATGTTCTATAAATTAACAAGATATAAAGTGTTTAAATAACTGGCTATGATCATAAATTGGAAAAATAATTTTAGCATTTTATGATTTTGTGAGCATACAATTCTAAATATTGCAAATATCTATGGTCACACTTCATCAAATTGTCTTCATGAGACAAGAAATGTAAACCTTTGGAAAGCTAAATCAAAACGGAGCGAGAGAGTAATCCACAAGCCAGACCATCCGAGTAAGACATAAAGTGGTGTTGAAGCTACCAATACACAACTGCAGATTCTGCTCACAAAGTAACAAAATCGCCAAGAAAGAACAACTAAAACCAGAAGTCCTTACATTCCTATTTTACGGGGTTCAGTCTGTTGCCAAACAATGCATTGCTGCATTTGAGCTCTCTTATACATTAGGAAGAGCTTGCCTCACCATCCAAAAAGCAGGATTAACGCAACCACAAATAGCCAAGGTCCAGCAATGAACCAGTAGACACTAGCAGTTCCACACAGTGGCGGGATCTAGTGTCATCTAGACCCAGTGGCCAGTACTTTCAACACGGTGCATAGATTTTATGTCTAAAAATACACTGATCATTATTAAATAATAGTAGATATAAACCCATAATTTTAGAAATATAATGGATTCAACACTAACTTCAGAGATTGAACTCGCAAAACTTAAATCCTAGATCCAACTCTGTTCCACTAGAATTTATTAGGAGATCCAGCAAGTTGCACTCGTGTCTAAAATCCCAATAAGAACACCCTTTTACCTTACCTTATCAAAATCCAATAAGAGCACCATAACATGAAGGCTACACAAGAGGAAAACTTAGGGTGAGATTGGAAAACAGACAATCCATCAAATAAATGACTTACAACGAAAACTAGAACAAAAGGTCAAGTAAAGGTTAGGGCTATAGCAAATCCAAGCTGATTTCAACAACGCTACAGATATAGGCAGCAAAACAATGCAGAGCATTCCACAAGAACAAATATGTGGATATGAGATAAACAATCGTTTTAAACAACCATAGGATAAGAGTCGCAGAAATAATCACCTTACATGCAGCTTATGTATCCAACCAACCTTCACTGCGAAAGCTTAACTGAACCTCCAGATTTAGAAGAACATTATTTCAACACCATCATAATAATATTGAAGAAGGCAAGCTGAACAAACATTATCAGATTGAACTTAATCATATAAAATTGGACGAGATTGAGAAACTTGCACAGCTACTTCAACATCCTTTAGCAATAAAAAGGATAAAACGCACCAAGTCCAAAACATTAACATAGGTCCTCAAGTAGTGACAAAGGGAACGTTTCCGCCGGAGGGGTTTGTCTCCATGGTCTCCTCGCCAAGAGCTACCCGGCGACGACAGAGGAAGCAACCCGTCTGCTGTGGCGGGGCAGCTACCTGTTCTAAACCCAACTCGCGTACCACTTGAATCGGCGAACCCTTGGGACCTTCTTCAACCCCAGGATGTGATGAGTCGACATCTAGGTGTCAAACGACTCAACCGATAAGAGCTCTGGGTAGTAGCAACTAACAACAACATACCCGGTATAATACCACGTGTGAGGTTTGGAGAGGATAGTGTGTACGCAGACCTTATCACTACCTGGAAAGGTAGAGAGGTGTTGCCTATCAATTAGTTCCAAGAAAGCGGCCGGGGTCTAACTAGAATTTCATTCCAACCTCGATATTGTTGGAATTGGTCTCGAAGAAGCGATTGCCCGCGAAAGCTGGGTAGCAACTAACAACAACATACCCGGTATAATACCACGTGTGGGGTTTGAAGAGGTTAGTGTGTACGCAGACCTTATCACTACCTAGAAAGGTAGAGAGGTGTTTCCAATAGACAAGAAGGAGACAAGGGACGATAAAGCAAAAGGGGGAGAAAAGTAGCATCAAATAGTATCGATAGAGCAGCAAGTCTAGTAAAAGGCGAAAAACAAAGCAGCAAGTAACTAAACAATAATCAGCGCTTCTAGTATAAGGCGAAACAAAGCAGCAAGTAACTAAACAATAATCATTCTCTGTAGTAATAGTGGCAGCTTAATTCCTAGTTGAACTGTAAAAGGAGTCATATACAATACTGGAAACTGAAAATGATGATACAAGCAAGAAGTGTTACTTCAATCATCAGCAGAACTTAATTTGCTTTGAGAGAAATATACATTCGCCAAACATTATCAACAGATTCCATATGCTTTTTACCAATCAAAACATACTTCAGCCATTATCTTTGCAAATTACTTTAACAAATACCTTCTTCAAAATGAGGACACCCAATAAATACCAGTAAGCAAAAAGGAAATGCAATATAAACAAGATTAAACAGAGCAAGTGCAAATCAAATTAGGAAATGGTCTGTTTTACTTGATTGTATAACGAGGAATTACAATATCCAGACCTTAACAACAGATATTAAAGTACCCTAACTTAAACTGACAACTAACACAAACAGAAAACACAAACATGAAATCTACAATCACTAACAACAAAACACTATAAACCCCAACTCCCAATATTTAACCTCCAAATCCGTACAAGGTCCTTCCTTGCCTCTTGAGAGCGTACACAACATCCATAGCAGTAACAGTCTTTCTCCTTGCGTGCTCAGTGTAGGTAACAGCATCTCGAATCACATTCTCCAAAAAGATCTTAAGAACTCCACGTGTCTCCTCATAGATGAGCCCGCTGATACGCTTCACTCCTCCTCTACGAGCCAAACGCCTAATTGCTGGCTTTGTAATCCCCTGGATGTTATCCCTCAGAACTTTCCTGTGCCTCTTTGCTCCTCCTTTGCCCAATCCCTTACCTCCCTTTCCACGTCCAGACATTTTTCAAAAGTTTAAGAAAGAGAAAATTGAAATTGAATTTTTAAGGTTTTGAATTTAAAAGAGAGAAGTGAACTTTGATTGTTTTGATGAGATGAAATGCCTGAGTTTGTTGTTATTTATAGCTGCTGGTTTTGTGGATCAAATGAGTATCGATCCGAGTGAAAGGATGGAACGTAATGTGAATCGTTGATTGGATAGAGATCAACGGCGAAGAGTGCTTTTTTGTGTGTTGACGCGGATTGTGCTTTTTGGCTGAGATAGACATTGTACTTTTGGCGGGGTTACGGAAAACTGTATTTTGGAGTATGAAAACGAAATGTGATTTGAACTTCGAAATTTTTAAGAGCATGATTAAACTCTAGGCGGTCAAAAACTTAGAATTAGTTTTGTTTTTTTTTTTGGTCGAAAAAAAAAAGTTAGAATTAGTTTATATATACCGAAATTTTATTGATTGATTAATTAAGTACTCCATAAAGATGATTATTTGTTTCTTGAATACCAGAAAAGCTAGGTAAGCATTTGGATAATATTTAAGCTGAAATTAAAAAAATTAATCCTTAAATTTGAAGTTGAAATATGTATAATAATAATTTCAGCAAAATGAAATTTTACCATAATATATCAAGCTAAAAATGGCATGATTATACTTATGTTTCTATCATGTTGAAAAAATCAAATTATCTCCTTTTTCTTGTAGAAGGTGGATTTATCATAGTTTTTTTTTTAATATGCTTATTTGATTCTTTACTTAGAAATGGCCCTTGAAAAATTATTTTTATAAGGATGATATTTGAGATGTGAAACTCTTATAATTGACCTTTTTATTAATTTTATTTGGCTCTATATATGGCCGAATTACCTATGTTGATTTACGTGATTGTCTTGGTTCGACTTTGCAGTGTAAAATAGCACATGTTTATAAAAATGGAGCGCGAGTTGGGGCGCATGAATCTTTAAATTTTGGTAATTAAAATATTTAGAAAATTGGAATAATAATAAGAAATAATATGAGAAATACATTAAACCCAGAAAACTAAAAAGCTAATTAGTATTTTTTTTGTTTCTCACCCGGTGTGCGGTACTCGCATTGGAGTCCGACTATATCTGGATTCGCGCCGCGTAGGGCCCATTCGGGGGGAAGCGCTCCCTACCAAGGATTTTTCCATACCCAGGGTTCAAACTCGAAACCTGTGGTAAAGGGAAGAGCAGTCTCATCCACTGCACCACATCCTTTGGTGGTAATTAGTGTTACTAATACCGATAGTAGCTCCTGTCTTGAATAAGGAAGTAGCCACAGAAGTATTTGCGTTTGCAAGATATTTAGAGGTAAAAGATTTTCCTTCAGCCTTGAAACTATGCGATATGCTCTTTCTCTGTCATGCGAATCCACCAG